GAAGCGCGAGTACGAAAACAAGGTGCTCGAACTCACCAACAAGCTCGAGGTCGACCTGAAGTGAAATGTATCAAGGTTTCAACCGGAAGGATCGTGCGTAGGTCATTGAGAAGCGAAGCAGCGAGCGACGCGCGCTCCAGGAGAAGCGCTACAAAGAAGAGATCGAGTTCCTCAAGTACCAAGGCCAGCACCTCGACGCCTTCCTCAAGTCGGCCGGGGGTGGCGCCAGCAAATAGCAATAATGATTACGCATCAAAGTTGTCGAGCTGCACCTCGGCGTGCGCGTACGAGGAAGCGACGACCTTGCCGTTGATCAAAAAGAGGTGTGGCTCAGCGACGTGGACGCAGTGGTAGCTAATGGTCTATCCGTGTACACATACCATTATTGTCGTATTCTCCATCACCTGTCGTCGCCAATGGTGAGGACTAGGGGTCTGTACCGTGCTATTGTAGGCGAGCGACATGACTCTCAGGCACGGGTCGAGTACATAGACCGTGTCGTCGTCCGTGATCTTGACGCTGGCTTCGCTGTCGAGATGGTAGACCGACACGGCGCAGGACGTCTCGGCACTGTCCATCATGATGAAGCAACTACCACCAGATTAGAATCAGCAGCGAGGACGGTCGAAATACCCGGGCGGCTCGTGGTTACGGGGCACGTCTGCCAGCAGCTTGAGCGCGATGACAACACCTTCGTTCAGGCCAAGCCTACAACATACAAGTATGAAACAGCCCATGGCGAGCAAAAAGCAACGTACTGGAGGGACGCGATCGGGCAGGGCGACCGGCCTTGAATGTCGACTGGTGGCGGGACGTTCCCGGCAAGCTGACTAAGTTTCTTGGGCGACAGACGAGCCTAGCACCAACATGTGGCGTCGACCGTCGGAAGAGCGTGGTGTACCTTGCGCAGCACGAGCCCGGACACGTGCTTGGTGTACTGGACGATGGCTTCCACGAGGTCGATCGCTCGAAGCGACGGGTCCAACTCGTGCGCCCGCAGATAGCTCGCGACGGCTTCGGCGTAGTCTTCCTTGTACCGTTGGACCTACGTCGGTGCGACTTGAAACATTGAAACTTTTTCGTGGAGCATTGTACATTGGCGCGGTTGAAGTGCAAGTCGGGGTTTTGCCCCGCGCCAGCCTTTTCCTAAGCGACAACTCAAGACGGCGTTCGACATGCAAGACATTTACAGCGCGGGTGTACGCGGCCAGCGACCGGTCGAGGTCGACCGTGCTGTGCGAGTCGCCAAAGAAGAGCGCGAGGTACGCATTCCCGAGCACGTCTACGCTTTCTTCTAAGCGACAACTTTAGTCGTAACTACGTACACCACGACTCGCCGTCGGTCAAGTCCAAGCTCACGGCTTGCTTGGCGCGCTGGAGGCTGGCCTATCGGCGGCGTCTCGCTTCGATAAGCAGACAATAGCGTACCCGAACGTGGTCGGCCTTGTCTTCAGGCTTGGTCCCAAGCTTGCGCAGTACCATTGAGAGACTGCGCAGCGCGTGCTTGCTCGAGCCGTACTCGAGGCAGTTCTCAAAGCAGTTTTTCGCTACGAGCAAGTCGCCTTTCTTCCAGAAGCAGTTGCCGAGCGCAACCCACGCGTCCAGGTTGCACGGATCGAGCTTCGCCTACGCAGCCAGACTGCGATGATGGACGAGCAACACGAAGACGTGTACGGCCTGCGAGAGCAGCTGCTCGGCCGTCGCGTCGTAGGACGGGAACGCATCCAGCGCCTTGCCCTTGAGGTAAAACACGGTCGCGCGGAGCTGCCGGTACTCCTCTACGCATGGATGTGATGCGAATGGGGACGTCTATGATACAAAGAGGAGGCCATACGCAGCGGAATGGCATCGACGAGTGCGACGACGTCGTCGGCAAGGGCTCGGAGCTTGCTCTACACGCCGCTGAAGCCTCATCGGGCGTGACGTGGAGCGCACCTGTTTCTCGGTCTTGTCGGCGCAGAAGAAGTGGTCGTGGACCTCGTAGAGCTCGGCGAGCTTGGCCTTGGCGGCTGCGACGGCCGCGTCGGCGTCGGTCGTTGCTGCCATCACGATCCTGCTGGCCTCACAAAATACACTGGATGCTTTTTGGCTAAACGCACCCAACTACAAACAGTGTTTTCACCAGCATTTTCGCAAAGATTTCATCGAGTGTCGGACTGCAGCACTCCATGGTCTGGTACACGCTACCCAGAGCCCATACCGCACGTCGACGTTGGGCCTCTCTCGCCAACGGGTGCGCCGGAGGCTGGGGAAAGACCGTCACCAACGGCCAAAGTTGCGTGTTATTAGCACCGTCGGGAACGTTCGGGCGGCATTCCATGGGCGATCGACGCGGTTGAAAATAACTTGGTGTTTGTATGCAATAGAATGCAAGGGCCGGCGGCTGCAGAAACACTGGATGGGGCAAAATCGATTTGGCGATGGGCTTTGCCTTGGAGCTCGTGGAACATGCGTTCGGGTCGATCGGGTCGGCGTCGCCGCTCAAGAAGGCCGCGGGCGTCAACCTCCCGCGCGGACCCAAGATGTCGTCGCCCTTTGCCTTTCCGCTCATCCACTCGTTCCATGCGTCGACCGACCGGCCGGCCTTTTTGGTGCACCCGCTCGGCAACGCCGCTTCGGCCGCCGCCCATGACGCCGCCGAACCATCCCCGGCCGCGCCAAGCGTCTCGCCCGAATGGCTTCTTCGCGTGTGCGAGCAGCATGCGGCGCTCACGCAGAGCGTCTTCTCCGGCCTCGAGCTCGCCAACTCGGTCGTCGACGCGCTCCAGACCGACGACGCCGAGTCGACCGTGTTCAACCTCCTCGGGTTTGACGGCTTTGACTTGATTCAGGAGATTCTCTCGAACCAAGGCTCGATCGTGGCCATGACGTCGGCGCAGCTCTCGCGCGCCCATGCGATCACGCATGGCGTGGTCGGCGCCGGTGGCAAGACGAAGGGTGCGTCCATGAGCATCCAGAGCGAGACCGACCAAGCTGTGGCCCGCCACGCGCGTAAGGAAGCCCGGCGCAACGCGCGGCGCAACCCTCGAAACGACGAGACGCATGACGAGGCCGACTGGCTCGAAGCAGCGGGCTACGACATGGACGTGGTCAACGCGCTCCGCGAGAGCCAGGCCGGCCCGCGATCGCCGACGTCGCAGCTCAAGGAGCAGTTTGGCGACTTGTCGTACGACACGAGCTCGATGGCGTCCGGGCTGCCGGCGAACGCGGTCAAGACAGTCGAGAAGGGCTACGAGAAGGTCTTTATCCCGCCGTTGATCGCGCGGCCGACGTCCAAGGACGAGCTCGTGCCAATCTCGGCCATGGACGACTTTGCCGTCGGCGTCTTTGAGGGCATTACGCACCTCAACCGCCTCCAGAGCAAGCTCTTTGAGGCTGCGTACCACTCGAACCAGAACCTCCTCGTGTGCGCCCCGACCGGCGCCGGCAAAACGAACGTGGCCATGATGACGATCCTCAAGGAGATCAAGAACCAGCGCTTGTACAACGGCGGCGACATTGGCAGCATGAAGATCATCTACGTCGCCCCCATGAAGGCGCTCGCGCAAGAGGTCGTCACGCGCTTCTCCAAGCGGCTCAAGTGCCTCAAGCTGCGCGTGGCCGAGCTCACGGGCGACATGCAGATGACGAAACAAGACATCGAAGACACGCATTTGATCGTGACGACGCCGGAAAAATGGGACGTCATCACGCGCAAGACACACGAGCAAGCGCTCATCTCGCAAGTGCGCCTCCTCATCATCGACGAAGTGCACTTGCTCGCCGACGAGCGCGGGCCGGTCATCGAGACCATCGTCGCCCGCACACTGCGCCGCGTCGAGTCGTCGCAGACCATGATCCGCATCGTGGGCTTGTCGGCGACGCTGCCCAACTACAAGGATGTCGCCGAGTTCCTCCGCGTGCCACACCCCAAGGACAAGCCGAGTGGCGGCGGCCTCTTCCACTTTGATGCGAGCTACCGCCCGGTGCCATTGGCGCAGACCTTCATCGGCATCACGGACAAGGGCCGGAGCAAGCAGATGGCCGCCATGAACCAGCTCGCGTACGAGTATGCGATCGAGAACCTCGAGCACGGCCAGCAAGTCATGATCTTTGTGCATTCGCGCAAGGAGACGGTCGGTACGATCCGCGCGATCCTCGAGATTGCAGCGCGCGCCGGCACGCTCGACCTCTTTTGCTCGGGCACGCCCGTGAAGGAAGCCACGGCCCACGCGCTCAGCGGGCTCGTACTCAAGAGCCGGAACCGCGAGCTCCAAGAGTTTGTCGGGCACGCTTGTGGCATCCACCACGCCGGCATGCTCCGCTCGGATCGCAATTTGACCGAGCAGCTCTTTGAGAACGGCCAGCTCCGCGTGCTCTGCTGTACGGCGACGTTGGCGTGGGGTGTCAACCTGCCCGCGCACGCAGTCTTGATCAAGGGCACGCAGATCTACAATGCTGAGAAGGGCTGCATGACGCCGTTGAGCATGCTCGACGTGATGCAAATCTTTGGGCGCGCCGGTCGACCGCAGTACGACACGAGCGGCGAAGCGACGATCGTCACGACGCACGACCAGCTTGACCACTATCTGCGGCTGTTGGTGCACCAGGCGCCGATCGAGTCGGCGTTGATCAAGACGCTGCCGGACCATTTGAACGCCGAGATCGTCTCGGGCACCGTCGCCAACATGGCCGAGGCGCTGGTCTGGCTCAGCTACACGTACCTGAACGTGCGCATGCTCCAGAGTCCGATGACGTACGGCATGTCGTACGACGAGCGCACGAACGACCCGATGCTCGTCAACAAGCGCACGTCGCTGCTACAGGAGGCCGCCAAGACGCTCGAGAGCTGCCGCATGATCCGCTTTGACCAAAGGTATGCCACGTCCCATCGACAAAGCGGTGTATCAACTTGATATTGTGTAGCCGCGGCGAGTTTGCGTTGACCAACTTGGGCCGTGTGGCGAGTCACTACTACATTACGCACGCGACGATCGAGACGTTCAACGACATGCTCATGAGCGACATGGACGAACAGACCGTGCTCAACGTCATTTGCTCGTCGACGGTAGCCCGATTCGATCGAAGTGTATCAAGGTATCAAGTTGTCCGTACCTAGGAATTTGAACAAGTCAAGGTGCGCGACGACGAGCTCGTCGAGCTCGACAAGATCAAGAAGGCGTGCAAGATCCCGATCAAGGGCGAGAACACGTCGTCGGGCAAAGCCAACATCCTCCTCCAAGCGTACATATCCAACATGTCGCACAAGCTGTCGAGCTTCACGCTCATCTCGGACACAAACTACGTGGCCCAGAACGGGTCGCGTGTGACCCGGGCGCTGTTTGAGATCTGCCTCAAGAAGGGTTGGCCGCTCGCAGCCGAGCGCGTCCTCAACATCGCCAAGTCGATCGACATGCGGTTCTGGTCGACGCAATCGCAGTTGCGGCGCTTTGGCAACGTCCTTCCCCACGACGCCATCATGCGTCTTGAGGAGCGGTACGGCAACGACATGGACACGGTGTCGACGCTCACGGTGGCCGACATTGGGCCGCTCGTCAACGGTCCCCGCGTCGCTGAGAAGGTGCTCCAGCACGTGCGGTACCTTCCGTACTTGGACGTGGACGTGAGCGCGCAACCCGTGACGGACGGCGTCCTCCGGCTCACGGTCAAGCTCAGCTGCGACTTTGAGTGGGCCGATATGTACCACGGCAAGGTCGAGTCGTGGTGGGTCTGGGTCGAGGACGAAGCCGCCATCTACCACGCCGAACACGTCTTGATCCACAAGGCGCAGTACCTCTCGGGTGAAGTGATTTCGCTTGTCTTCCACATCCCGCTCTTTGCGCAGAGCGTTAACTCGTACATGCTGCGCGTCTTGTCGGATCGGTGGGTTGGCGTCGACAGCCACCACGACATTGATGTGCCCGCGCCCAAGAGCTCGGCGCCGTCGCTGTTCTACACGCCGTTGCAGTCGTTGCATCCGCTGCCGATTAATGCGCTCAACGAGCCGGCGTTTGAGGCCTGCTACCCGTACCCGTTCTTCAACCCGATCCAGACCCAAGTGTTTCACACGTTGTACCACACGGACGGGAACGTGCTCCTTGGGGCGCCCACGGGCAGCGGCAAGACGATCGTGGCCGAGCTCGCGATGCTGCGCGTGTGGCAGCAAGCGGCGTCGCAAGGGAACCCGCTGGTCGTGTACGTCGCGCCGCTCAAGGCCCTCGCGCGCGAACGCGTCAAAGACTGGACGCACAAGTTTGCGCGTCTCGGGAAGAAGGTCGTCGAGCTCACGGGCGACACGACGGTCGAAGCAGCGGTGCTCAAGCGCGCGTCGATCATCGTGACGACGCCGGAGAAGTGGGACGTGGTCACGCGCCAGCTCACGCGCACGTCGTTTGTGCAGCAAGTGCGCCTCGTGCTCCTCGATGAGATCCACTTGCTCGGCGAAGACCGCGGCCCGGTGCTCGAAGCGATCGTGTCGCGCATGCGCATGCTTCGACCGTCGATCCGACTCGTCGGCTTGTCGACCGCGCTCGCCAACGCGGTCGATGTCGGTGCATGGATGGGCATTGAGGAGCCGTCCGCTGGCATCTTCAACTTTCGCGCGTCCGTGCGGCCGATCCCGATGGACGTGCACCTGCAGGGGTTCCCGGGTCGCCACTATGTGCCCCGGATGACTGCCATGAACAAGCCGACGTACGCGGCGATCGTGGCGCACTCGCCCAAGAAGCCGGCGCTCGTGTTTGTCGCGTCGCGCGCGCAGACGCGGCTGACGGCCATGGCGCTCGTCTCCTTTGCGGCGCTCGACGGCTCGCCCAAGCAATTCCTCCATGAAGACGAAGAGGTCATGGACGCGATCGTCCAGCAAGTGCGGGACCCAGCCCTCAAGGACGCGCTTGTCTTTGGCATTGGCTTGCATCACGCCGGTATCTTGGATTTATGGATACTTGGATCGATGATTCATGGATATATCTAGGATTGAGTGCGAAGGACCGGGATGTCGTCGAAGAGCTCTTCTTGCACGGGAAGATCCAAGTCGTGATCTGTACGTCGACGTTGGCGTGGGGCGTGAACCTCCCAGCGCACCTCGTGGTCATCAAGGGCACCGAGTTTTACGACCCAAAGCAAGGGCGGTACGCCGACTTTCCGATGAGCGACATTTTGCAGATGATGGGGCGCGCGGGCCGCCCGCAGTTTGATACGACGGGCGTCGCGGTCGTCTTGGTGCACGAGGACAAGCAAAACTTCATCAAGCGCTTCATCTACGAGCCGATGCCGGTCGAGTCGTCGCTCCACCTGCAGCTTGAAAACACGCTCAACGCCGAAGTGGCCAACGGCACGATCAAGAGCATTGCGGACGCAGTCACGTACCTCTCGTGGACGTTCCTCTTCCAGCGGGTGCAGAAGAACCCGGCGTACTACGGTCTCGACGAAGGCCAGGAGACGAGCTATTTCTTCCAGCGGCTCGTCACCGACATGCTCACCAAGCTCATCGCGAACGGCTGCGTGCGGCAAAGTGGCAAGGCGCTGTCGCCGACGCCGCTCGGGAAGATTGCGAGCGCCCAGTACCTCGACTATGCGACCGTCTACCACTTGCACTCGGCGCTGTCGGCGCTTGACGTGTCCGAGGCGGAGGACGAAGCGCGCATGAAGGCGCTGCTTGCCATCATTGCGGGCTGCGCCGAGTTTGCCGAGACGCCGCTTCGTCCGCACGAAGCCAAGACGAATGCGGCGCTGTCGGCGGCGGTGCGCTTCCCCAAGCTCGAGACCGCATGGAAGTGGGACTCGCATGGCGCCAAGATGAAGACGAGCATTTTGCTGCAGATGCATCTCGGCCGCATCCAGGCGCCGTCCAGCGAGTGCTACAACGACCTCCGCGTCGTGCTCGACAACCTCCCGCGCATCACGGGCGCCATGGTCGACATTGCTGCGCTCCTCGGACGCGTGCCGCTGGTGCACGCGTGCGTGTCGATGGCCCAAGGCATGCTCTTTGGCAAGTGGCCCGATCGCCTCGGGTGGCTCGAGCTGCCGCACCTCTCGGCGGCCGATGTCCCCCACTTGCCGCCTATCGCCAAGGCGGCGGATGCGGTCTGGCCCAAACGACTCGGCAGTGAGAAAGTTCGCGACCTCCAAACCGCGCTACAGCAAGTGCCGCACGTCGACGTCCGCGTGACACAGCAGCCGTCGATCAAGAAGGACAGTGTCGACGTCACGGTGAGTGTGCGCGTCACCAATGACTCGCTCTTGCCGTCGGTGGTGTCGACGCGGTACGTCAAGCCGCGCCCGCGCCTGCTCTACGCGCTGCTGGTGGACGCCAAGGACCCGAGCAAGCTCGTCGGGATGGTCCATCTACCGTACCGGCGCAGTGCGACCAAGACACTGACGTTGCGCGGCGCCCCGGAGCGCGCGCTCGACATCCAAGTGGTATCGAATGCGTCGGCCGTCGTGTTGGTGCCCAGCACGACGTGATTCTTGTCAAGAGCACGATGGGTCAGAGTAGTACGAAGCTTCGTAGTACGCAATGACTAAAACAAACTAACGGCGTGTTTTCTACTCGCGCAAGAAGCGACCAGGTGCCGTGACGTGGCAGACGTACGGTGATGCACCAGCGCCACCTCGAGACGCCGTGGCGACGAACGCGCGGGACGACCGGTTCGATTACTCCAGCGGACCAAACACCAAGACATATGGTCTGCACCGTGCGAGTAACGAACGGGTGACGATGACTTTACACTCGGCGGACGAGTGTCCAGGACCAGCTTGCACGCTGCGAGGTGAAGTGCTTGTCCTTGTCGATGAATCGCCGTAGGTTGGCGCCAAGGACGCTGACACCGGCGCATCGACGACTCGATACCCGCGTGATCACGGTCAACATGTCTCGCACCACGCTGCGTTAGCACTGCGTTGTGTGGTTTGGTCGTCGTCGAAGAAGCAGAGGAATAATCATGTGTTGGCATCGTTTGGTAACACAGCAGCCGTGAGCGCATTTGGGTGCGGCGGTTCAATATTCCTTGGTCCTCCTTCTTTCTATCGGAAGCGAGGGTGGCGGCCGGTGTGGCCAAGGACGGTGCGTCGGTCCTTCGCAGCCGCGATCGTTGTCGTCGCTGCCTCCGGCGTCAAGGCCACACTCCAGAATACATGTTGATGGTACGCATTTGACACGCATAGCGAGTGGCAGCCAATGAAATCGCGCGAAAATATCGAACCGACCAATCAGCATCGAGAGCGTTTGCACTTTAATTCCAGCGATGCCAGGTGGTGCGCCAAAGATCTGGTTTGAATTTTATTATCTTGGACTTTGTATCGACTTGCGATTGCGCAGTTGAATTTCGCAGCCGGGCGCGAATGCGGTAAACATCCCGTCGAACGTGGGATGGCACTTGGATCAGAGACGACGCGGCGGTCACTTGACGACTGCATGGCGCCCTGGGACACCAAGTCGCCCGAGACGGACGACGCGATGCGCAACGACCGCGAAGCGCGCCTCAAGAAGGATCGCATGCGCAAAACCAAGTACCGACAAGAAAAGATGGCCGAGATGCACGAACTCAAGGTCACTGCAAGCGCGCTCACGCTGCAGCTCGAGCAGCTCAAGACACAGCGGAGCCAGCACGTGCGTCCGCGGCTACCGTCGCTCACGTCGCTGCAGGCGCCGCGGCTTCGGCTGTCCTGGAAATTGATTGCGGATCGAGAGAAAGCGGGTCTTGCGGCCGCGTACGCCGAGCAGAAGCGGCTGCGCACCGACCTCTTGCAGGACCTCAATCGCGCCTTTTACCTGCTCCAGTCGCAGCGCCGTGCCCCGCGCGAGGTAGTCCGACTGCCCATGCATCTTGTGTTTCATGCATCTCTTGCGCCATAACAGATGGTGATGGACCTGCGGCGCGAGCCGCGCACCGCGACCACACTGCCGCACCACCCACTGCGGCGCCTCGAGACCATCCAGCGCCTCTTGCAGTGGCAAGCCGACCACGTCAACGATATGTTCTTAGCCCGCGTGCTTCCAGCGCTCGACGACGACGACGATCCCGCATGGACCATGGAGCTGTCGACGGACGTCGCGTCGGTTGCGTATCTCGAGACACGAAGCCTCGGCGTCGTGTACGCGTCCGCGGTCGACGTCGGCGCCGTCCTATGGCAGTTCGAGACCGCGCAGTCCCGTCATACCAAGGTACTTTCTGGTCATTTCAAATCCAAACACTACACTGTCGTAGGTGGTGCCACTCGACGGCGATACCGCCTTGGTATCGGGCTCCAGCAAGGACGACGACACGACGCTGCTCAAGCGGATCGTACATCGAACTGCCACTGGCGCACCACGCGTCCTGCTTCTTGCGCAGAGCGTGCTCGCCGACGAAAGCGTCTCGCACCCTACATCTTGCAATAGCGTGGTGATGTGGTACGTAGCATGCGTTGCATACTTCCATCGGAAGCTCATGAACGCATCATAGGCTTGTGGTCGACGAGCTCCCGCGCGGAGCGTCCGACGGCCCCGTGAGCGTCTATCGCAGCGTGCAGCAAGCCGCTTTGAACGGTCCGCTCGATGTGTACGCCGAGCACTTGGTCGCGACGACGGCGACGCGCGCCCTGCGGCAGCACGCGCTTTCGCGCCATTTCCACTGCCTCTAACTTAATCAGCGCAAGAAGAACGAGACGTGTTGGTGGACTTAGATGAAGCCGAGCTGCTGCGCGGCCTGGTCGACCTGCGCCTGGATGTCGGGCGACTGGCAGTTGTTGCGGACCATCGAGAGCTTCTCCGGGTCCTTGAGCTTGACAGCGAGTTCGAGCGCCGCAAGCCACATTTGCAGATGGATGAACGTATCAAACTTCTCGTCCGGCTGCGTAATGCGCGCCGCGTACGACTCGGCTTGGCCCTTCTCGCCTTCGCGGAGGCACGCGACTGCGAACGCCTTGAAGCCGCACGGTGGCGTCTTTTTCTCTTGGGAAAACTAGATCCACAATACGTACACAGTGCCCTCCAAGTCAGATCTACCTTGTGGAGGGTGTCCCACTGCTGCGTCTCGGCGAGCGCTTTGATCTTGACGTGGTAAAAGCGCTTCTCGGGGACCTTGAACTTTTTGGCGAGGCCGGCCGCGAGCTGCAACGACTTGGGGTCGCGCTTGGCGTCCATGCAGAGCTGCTTGATCGTATCGCTGAGCGAGAGGCCCACAAACGAGGTTGAGATGTGCGGCGCCTTTTCATCGAGCTTCTTTTGCTCGACGAGGAGGTCCATTTGCTCCTCCGTGAGCTTGGCGTTGATCGGGAGCTTGGCGACATTGAACTTGGCCATCGCGTCCTTGAGCACCTTGAGCTTGGCGTCGACGTCCATCACTTGGAACGACTGCAGCACATCGTAGTTGGCACTCGCCATATCGGGCCAAATCGCATCTACACGGAATATGAACTTGATACATTGATACAAAACATACCCAGCTTCTCGCGCGACTCGCCCGTGCCAATGTAGTAGGACGTAATGAGGTGGATCGCATCCGCGTACATGGGCTCCGACTGCAGCACGCGGCGAAAGTCGTCGACCGGCACGAGCCGCTCCATGTGGAAGAGCGCCATGTAGATGAGGTCGGTCTGGCTCGACTCGAGCGCCTTGCGCAGCGCGAGTTCGCACTCGCCCATCGACAATAAGAGCGGCACTTGGTCCGACGCGTTCTCTTCCAAATCCAGCAGCATCGTCGCGAGGCGGCGGCGGCCCGCGCGCTCGGCGCAGCTCGCAATCTCAGAGTACGAGACGAGCGTCGCGTCCTTGAGCTTCTTCCGGACAAGCGACACGACCGCTTCGTCCGTCATGGGCGCGTCGCCAAACGAAGCCTTGACCTTCTCGCACGCCCAGTGGACGAGGACGCGGTCCGGCGAGATCTTGAGGTACTCGCAAATCTTGATCGCGAGGTAGTGCTGGCGCATGGCGACGAGGCGCGACACGACCACGTCGCTCGTGAGCCGGTCAAACTGCCGGAGCGTCAAGGGCAGACCGACCGACGGCTTGCGGAGTGCGTTGAGCACGCGCAGCTTGCGGCTCATGTCGACAAAGAGCTCAGAGTCGTAGCCCGAGCTGCGTGCGTCGGCGCTGTTATCAAAGAAGCACTTGCCGTACGCTGCCGCGCGAAGGAGCGAGAGCTGCGCTGCGTAGTCAAACTCGTTGCCGGCAGCGTTGATGCAGTCGGTGATCGCTTGCTCCAGCGTCTTGTGCACTTGGATCGACCGAATGTTCTCGTCGGCCTTGGCGTCGCCCGAGTCGAACGCGTCGAGCGCGTCAAAGAGCATCGCGGCTGGCGACGTGCTGCCGATGCGCTTGATGCTTTCGGTGGCCTTGGGAACGCGCATGAGGAGCTCATGGCCGCGGCTGCTGTAGATGCGGCACGAGTCGACTTCTTGGCAGAGCTCGACAGGGCCGTCACACGGAAACTTGAGCCACGACCCGAGTGGGCCGACCATGATGAGCCCGACGTTCTGCCAGTAGAGCACGACCGAGTCTTCGCCGCACCAGAGCATGCTCTTGGGCGTCGCTTTCGACGACGTCTCAAACTCCAAAATCTTCTTGTCAAAGTTGGTATTGAGCACCGTAAGGACGCCGTCTTGGGTGTACATGGCCATAAACATGCCATTGGGCGCGATCGCAATCGCTTCGATCGGCGCCTTGATCGACTCTTCGAGGTGCATGTCGGTCATCGAGTCCTTGTTGCTGCCCGGCAGCTTGGAGAGCACGACGAGCGACTTGGCCGACGTGCCGAGAAAGATCTCGGGCATGTTGGTCTTGACGAAGCGCGGGTGCAGCACCGCCATGCATGTCGGCGGGTTCGCCTCGGAGATGCCGGTCTCCATGATGAGGTCGATGCGCGGCGAGACCGAGTCGATGTCCATGACCTGCACGACCATGTAGTTGCCGAGGAGACAGGCGATGCCGCCGCCCCATGACTCGAAGCTCCAGATCTTGGTGTTGAGGTTCCGCGACACGATGTTGAACGAGTTGTCGAGCTCACCCATGATGCTGTACGTGACGCAGAGCCCATCGTCAAAGACGCACAAGAGGCGCATCTCGTCAGTCCACGCCATGCCGAGGAGCGTCTTCTTCTTCTCGTCATACTCCTTGAACGAGATGGACGCGAGGCGGCTACCGCACGCGTTGAAGATGAAGAGCGTCCGACTCAAGGACCCTTTGGCGTCCATCTTGACGAGCAGCTGCGACTTGCGGAGCAGCGCGACGGGGCCGCCGTACTGCGCTGGCACGACGTCAAAGTCCTTGAGGTCGCCGACAGACGCGACTTCCTCGCGCCACGACGCGCCCATGTCGAAGAGGTGGTGGCGCTGGTACTGGGCCTCGCCCAGCGCGTGCCACTCGGAGGGATCCATCGGCAACACGAATTTTGCAGTCACTCCACAATTCGGCACATGGCAAGCGGATTCGGCATCGAAGGGGAAAATTCGGCACATCACTGGTAATTACGGCAGCATGGGCTAGCATTCGGCACATACCACGTCGCTTCGGCATCATTCAGAAAATGAATGCGGCTTGTGCCATGCGTATCGCGTCAGGCCAGTGCGAGCAAGAGATCATGGGACGTGTGGCTCATAAAGTGTACGCTGTGTACATGAAAATGAGATGTCGTACCATCCAGCAAAGACCGATAAAGGTCAGCAGAGGCGCGGGCGGAAACAACATTTAAAAGTGGCATGTGCCGCAAGAGAGCACCGTGCCCGCTCATTGGCCGGATCCCGACATTGCGATCTTCTCTCTTTCGATGACTAGCTTATCATCGACTTGTGTCGTTTGCATCTACTGCAAGCATGGACATGGTTGAGTGCAGTCCTGCTGACATTAACAAAACCTGATCTGTACACAAATTATATGAATGATATTAGTCTTCGCCTATGTGTCGGGTGTCGAGCGTCGCTCCGGCTTGGGGCTCTTCGCCTCACGCGCCGCCATGTGGGCCTCGATCAAGAGGCGATTTTTCGTCGCCGTGTCCGTCGCCTTGGTCGTGGGAGCCTTGGCGTGGGTCTTGGCGGGCGGGTTAGAAAGCGAATCGACGCAGCCTCGCCCGCCACGACACATGCCAAGGCCCCCAAGGCCAAGGCAATGGACACGGCGACGACAAATCGTCTCTTGTTCGAGGCCCACATGGCGGCGCGCGAGGCGAAGAAGAGCTCAAGCCGAAGCGATGCTCCGGCACCGCAAATTCGAGACTGACCACGTCGCAAAAGGTATGCGCCACCAGATGCGCCACGCGCAATTGTATTACATATTAACCACAAGATAGTTAAATAACATCGCCATGGGTCGTAACCCTACCCCCGTCCACTTGCCCGCAGCGTATTTTATTACAAAAGTCCTGGCACTGCATACAAACCCTTAGTCTAATGTAAATAGGGTATTTTACGATTCCTGGGTGACTTCGACGCGCAGCAGAGAATACATTCGCCTAACCCGCGCTCCATGATGACACGCCGGACGCCATTCCTTGGGCTCTGCTGGTCACCGCACGCCCGCAAGCTCAATGTAGGAGCCTCGGCGAAACGTCTTCCTCCTTCTGCTTGTATGTGCGCGCTCTAGTCCGCAACGCTGTCGCTCACCGCTCTGCAAAGTTTGCCAGTTCTACGACCGTCGACGTTGTTGAAGTGTCGATGCTCCACATCGTACTAGACGTTCGCAACATTCTCGAACGCTGTGACGCACGCTGCGTCGGACTACTCTGTCATTGGTAGCGCGACCGAGTACAGCGTAGACCAAGGCGCGTCGCTCGTGACGGCGATGCAGCGCCGACTCCCACGCGGCTTTGCAGACGCCAACATGACCGCATGGTGGTCCACAAGCCAGCGCCTGTGTTGCGCGCTGACTTGCTGCTGCATGACTACTTAAAGTTGATGGAACAGGTCATTCTTCGTGCTTGCGTCTTTCGTGCTGGTCCAAACTCGATGGAAATACCATCCAGAACTGGTTTTGATGGAGCATTTCGTTCCAAGGAGGAGCAAACCGGTCATTTGATGGGTGGCAGTCAGGACGGGAGAGGCTGGACGGGAGTCGACACGATACGTCCCTTTGGGCGCCGTTTTGGCGGGCGAGTCGACGAGTCGACGACCATTGTACACACCATGTCCCGATACAGGTCGACCAAAATGGCGACTTGCAACATGGCACTTTCTAGCCTAGTTCATCTCGTCTTGAGGTAGTTGTTGTGGGCACAACACGATGCAGCATGGCCACGCCGGCGACGCGCGGGATCGCTACAAATTTATTATTGCAGGCAAAAGACGAGCGAATGCCCAATGCGCGCTATGCATCGCTCGACGCGCTAAAGTCAGTTCTGAATCTTTACTCTCTTTTCTGAAAGCGAGCTCCGACCTGAGCCCAACGACCAACGTGTACTCCTCGGTGCAGAGGTACATGTAGCTACCGCGGAGGAAGCGATGTCTCCGGTGACGGTGTAGTTGATAGGGTATCCAAAGAAGTGGCTCGGCGTCAGGTTCGAGAAGGTCTTGGGCTTCGATACTACTACTGCTAGTGCGTCGACCTCAACTCCTCGAGACCTTTGCCACATGCAACCGACCGGCTAAGAATACCATCCGGTATTTATATTCCAACATGAACGGCGACGAGCCGAGTCGCCCGGCGCCGCTCAAGGCCAAGTTCCAGATCGGGAGCGCCCAAGCGCCCATCAACTACAAGTTTCAAGAGTCGTGCTTCCACGTCGATGACATTCCGCCGCAAAAGCTCGCAGCCAAGCGCGAGATCCAAAAGTCGCTTGCGTCGCAGATTCTCGCCATCGACAAGCACGAGTGGGACCCGTCGACGGCCGAGACGATGCTCAAAACGCCGAGCCACAAGCGCACCTTTGTGCACGCCGAGGTATCGTCGTCGAAATTCGACACCTTGTCCACGATACAAAGTGCAGATGAACCACGGCAACATGTACCAGTACAACTTTCGCGCCGAGAAGCTGCCCGACAAGTACCCGACGCTCCTCTCCAAGCCCAACAAGTTCAACACCGGCATCCTCGAGGTGGCGCAAACGAGCATTTACCGCGGCGAGTCGTTTGGCGACGAGCGCATGATGCGGGTGCGCGGGTCCTTGCGACGTGCAGCGACGCGCATTTGATGCGTAGGGCATCTGTAAACGCACAGAAGAGCTGCCAAATCACCCAAACCTCGTCGACGCCGAGCGCTGGAATCACTCGACGCAGTTCTCCAAGCAAGAGCTGCGGCACAAGGTACACCTTGTCGTCGATTCGCAAGACACTATTGTGTATGAGTCTAGTTTAAAGAAAAGGAGGCCGCGCGGATAGCCAACTCGGAGCGAGTGATCGCCGCGACCGCCAAGGCCCACAAGAGCGTCATTGCACTCTACGAAGAGCAGAAGCGCACGCTGCGCGAGCAAAAGGCTGCGACGCTGGCATCGACGCGCAAGTAGATTCATATGTAGAGTTATAATCGACAATAGGTCATCTTGTGCACTCTCACGTGTGGTCGGGAGCTATGACAGCAGGGCAAATAGTGCGGGCTAAAGCCGGCATCCCTCTCGAGGATCGTCCGTCTAGTCTCTCCAGGAGAGGGTCGAGCAGTAAGCCGGTGGCTTCTCGATGCATCCATCGAGGTTCTTGGTACATGCGTCGAGAAAGAACGCACAGTACGAGACGCGTGTCATGCCAGCTTTGTGGATCGCGCGGGTCGCCTGGTACAACCTGATTTCCCGCCAAAATGCAAAGTCGTATCCGGCGTTTGGATCATCCGGTTACGCGTGGAAAGTGCAAGATGGCGGCAACCGACGACGTCAACACGCTGGTGCGCCAGCTGCAGCGCCTGCCGGCGGTGCAAGGGTCGCTGGTGCGTGGCCTCGATGGACACGTGCACATTGACGGCGTCGCGTCACCCATCGACCTCGCGCGGGATACGATGGCGATCCTCGCGGCGCATCCGTCCGGCCACGTGCCCGCGTCCAGCGTGCACTTTCTCAACGATGTGCCGCTGGACGCCCGGAACGTAGCCGTCATTCGCGATGCCATCGAGGTAGCAATGACGCCAGAAGGGTCATATTCCCTAACGCTCTCGCACGTCGTTCTTCATCATGGCGGCGACGTGGCGCGCCTCCCATCGACTGCCCGATCGTTCGGTACGTTGGTGGTCTTCTACGCGTCGACGGCGGTTGGCGGTGACATAACGGCGTCGCTGGACGGCGCAAAAGAGCACTGTTCGTCGTCAGACATGACCTTTTTGGCGTTCAACAACGCCTGCGACGTCACTGTGGCACCGATCATGAACGGTGCCCGCGCGATGCTCGTCTTTGACCTCGTCTACCGCGATGCCAACTACGAGGCGCCGAGTGTTGCCTCCGTGCTGACGGCGCTGCAAGTCGCGGCAACGAAAAAACGGCAAAAAACCACGCTACGCGCCCAGGTGCTGCTGCGGCAAGACGACCAGCTTGACATGGAGACTTTGGCGGCCTCGGACAAGCTGTTTGTGCAGCGCCTCGTGGATACTGACTGCTGGGACATTGCAGTCGTCCTCGCAGAGCCGCGACAGTGGGCTCCTGCAAACCAGCGCATCGAGAGCGAGGCGGTCGAGGTACGACGCGTCATGGTGGGACCAGTCCCAATCAGGCTCTCGCATGACGTAGGACAACATGTATCTTCTTCGAGCTCCTGACGACGAGCAAGACGGCAACGAGGAAGCTCGTGACGACAACGAGGAAGACGATGAAGAAGATGACGAAGATGAGGAAGACGATGAAGAAGATGACGAAGATGAGGAAGACGATGAAGAAGATGATGAAGATGAGGACGGCTACTACGAAGATGACCAGCCGATGTATTTCATTACTGCGTATGTCATGCATCCATCGAATGCTCTGCCGCCCGTCTTCGCGCATGCGCTCGACACCAAGCCGCTTCTGACGTATGTACAAGACGTCTACCTGCCGACGACGAGAAAAGGCTGTCTCGTCTTTTGGCCAAAGCAGCATCGGCTTCGGCTGCTCGGTTTCCGCGCCTCGCTGCGGCAGCTGGATGCGCTCGTGACGGGCGCGTCCACCGATCTCTACGGCTATGCATCGATGTTGGCGTTTGCTTACGCGGTGCTCGGCATGGTCGGCTCGGATGTTTCTCGTCTTTCGGAGAACACTGATGTCCCTGACGTCACGCGTCTCGGGCGCGTGCTCGTGGCGCTTGGCGACGTTCCGTTGCTGCGAGCGTTCGTCGCAGCGATCAATCTGCGCGAGGTTGACGCGCAGTTGCAAGCGCTGCTCGTGACGATGCTACGTCATTTCGGATGGCCGATTTTTGATGCGTCGATTCAGACGCTCTTGCAGCGTCCACATTTGGATCTGCTGGACGTGCAGCGTGGTGCCGGCCTCGTGGCTGCGTGCCTTCCACTGAAGCAGCCGTATATGCGCGAGTTCCTCGTAGCGGCCTACAACGCGCTGCTCCAGCAAGTGAGCACTATTGCCATGTCGACCTCGTCTGCGATCGAGCTGCTGCGAGACATGTTGCTCATTGAAGCGCATTTGAACCAGACGCGGGACGACGACCGTGAAAGCATGTACCTCGGCACACGGCTGCCCCTGGGCGTGGTCCACCACATCTCGTCGTTCCTCTGCCCCGGTGCGCTGGCCGATATGGTCTGCCTCCCGCCATGGGTGTTTGACCCGATCCACATCATCGCACCTGCCATCCGTGCGCTCCGGAACGCGTCGCTGCCGCTCCAGCCGTATCTCGCCGTCATCGACGGCGCTGTCAAGCGTGCGCTGCAGATTCCAGCCCGACATGATGACTTGAGTCATGGCTGGGCGGCCGTGCTGGTGCTGCATCTGGAGACCGTCAACGCCGTTGACGACGAGCTTCTCACTCGATTCTTTGCCACGTGCGATCGCGCGATCGGCATTGAAACGATCTACGACCTTGCGACACAGTCTCTTGACGCGGTGCCGCTGAACGTTCGGACCTTTTTGGCTCAGTACCTCGTGCAAGCGGCCACGACGCTCGTCACAGACAACGACGAGGACGAGGACGGTGGCATGGTGGCGTCGGTCGCCAAGGCATGGGCTGCGCTGGAAGCGTTTGACCTCGACGATGTCGGTCCGCCGATCGTTGCCGCGGTGCATCAGCGCTGGTCAGCGCTCGCAACCAACGCTGAGAAGATGGCTCTGGCGTCTCGCATTATGCAAACGTGGTACCCCGTCGTGGCGACGTCGCTCCTCCTGCGCCCACTGCTGGTGGCGATACTGCCCGTGCTCGAGGGGTACGTGGCAACCCACGAGCGCCCGACGATTCCGACGCAAGCGTGGGCTCTGCCGCGTGTCTACTTTGCGTGCGACTGCGAGCAATGCACGGCAGCACAGAGCTTCGTCGCCGATGCGACTCGCGGCGTCTTCTCGATGTCCAGTGGGCATTTCTGCATGCATTTTCTCGCGCGCATTCTGCACAACCGCCCGTTTCCCGACCTCACGGTGTGCGAGGACAACGAAGACGTCTTTGAGCTCTGCAAAGCTGGTGCGGAGGAGCTTCGCCGCTACGATCGGCTGTGTAGCTACGTCGATAGCATCCGTACTGCGCTACACGACGACGCTGGGCAGGAGCCTGTGACCAAGCGCCGTCGCCTTGACGATGCGGGCGCTACGTAGAAGATCTTGTCGTATCGAAGGCTCATTGTCGTGGCTCTCGCGCGGATGCAAGCCTAAAGTACAAACAAAATGTCTTCTTTTCTGCACATAATGTGTGCTCACGGCTAGGACTGAGATAGAGATCGCCAACAGAGACGCGTGAAGCTAGTAGGAAGAATCCACACCCTGGATCCCTGGAGGACAGGAGTCGTTGGCATCACACCCTTCTACCGGTAATTCTCTGCGGGTACACGTTCATTGAAGACTATTGGCTACTAGTATGCACGAAGAACTCGGCTTCGCCAGGCCGATCTCGCCACGCCCCACGGCGTTGATGAGTTCAGGAACCCACAACGACGTTGCCAAGCAGATCCCCAGACGAAGATTCCTGTTCGAGCCAAAGAGTTCACCGACGCGTGTTGCAGACGTGCGCGGTGACAATGGCCTAAGGTTAAGTTCACACGATAACTGATGCAGATCACCAAAGAAGAAGCATCTCGTTCGAACCAAAGACTTCGCCAGAGCCCCATGCTGCATTTACTTGTCTATAGCACAACGATTCCCCAAGTTTATTCCAGCAGATTTGCTCATCACGCTTTGGACGTCAGATCGACGTTAGGTATCAGGTATCAGATGGCGTCGTTGACGGCAGACTGCCAGGCACACGAGCCGAGTTGCCCAGAGTCGCCTTGCTCTTGCCAGCAATTTGTACACTCAAGTAGAGAAGCATCAATATCCTCTACGCAGCTCCAAAGCTCGATCCATCGAGTGCTGATGACTGCAGATCCGCCAGCCCCGTCATGACACGAGAAGACATATGTGTTTACCATTGTCCAATCATTATACGTCCTCGTGATCACATCCACCAATCATATGGCTCAAAGCTACTCGCGTGGCTCAGGACGGCCTCTACGAGGCGCTGGCGAAGTCTTTGGTTCGAACGAGATGCTTCTTCTTTGGTGATCTGCTTGCGCTATACGTGCACAAAACCTGAGGTCACTGCACCGCGCACATCTGCCACTCGCGTCCCAGATTCTTCCTCTCGGGGGATCTGCTTGGCGTTGCCGTCGTAGGTTCTACGACCCTTTGCTGGCTTGCACCACAATGCTCAGTTTCAAATATCTTCAATCAACACCAAGACACCACCACCATGCCCAACCTCTTTTCGCCCATCCAGATTGGCCGCTTCACGCTGCCCAACCGCATCTTTATGGCGCCGCTCACGCGGTGCCGGTCGTCGCCGGGCGACCACATCCCGTCCGAACTCATGATCCAGCACTACGCAGACCGGGCGTCGGCGGGCCTGACCATCACCGAGTGCTCGATGATCGCGCCCAAGACGTCGGCCTTCTTTGCCGAGCCCGGTGTCTACTCGCCCGAGCAGTTGGCGGTGTGGAAGAAGATCACGGACGCGGTCCATGCCAAGGGCGGCAAGATCTTTTGCCAGATCTGGCACGCTGGCCGCGGTGCGCACCCAGAGCACAACGACGGCGCCGAGCCCGTGGGTCCATCTGCGATTGCAATCGACGGCTTCACGTACACGCCCAGCGGCCGCGTCCCGTTCGTCGTACCGCGCGAGCTCACGCTCAACGAAATCGCTGCGATCGTACAGCAGTTTGCGACGGCGGCGCGCAACTGCGTCGAAATCGCTGGCTTTGACGGCGTCGAAGTCCACGCCGCGAACGGGTTTCTCGTCGACCAGTTCCTCAAGGCGAGCTCCAACACGCGCACGGACGCGTACGGCGGGTCGCCCGAGAACCGGACGCGGTTCCTGCGCGAGGTCGTCTCTGCTGTCGTCGACGCCATCGGTGGCGACCGCGTCGGCGTTCGTTTCTCGCCGCTCAACACGGGGTTCATTGCGTCGAGCGAGACGGACCCCGAGGCGTTTGCAGCCTATGTCGCTTCGACCATCAACGCCTTTGACGTGGCCTACGTGCACGCGGTGCGCCGCGACAACGCCGGTCAGCTCACGGGCGACATCGTGCCGATCTTTCGTCAGCACTACAAGGGCACGCTGGTCACGAACGCGCAGTATTCCCAGGACGAAGCGACCGAGGCCATTGAAAAGGGTGAGACTGACGCGGTCGCGTTTGGGAAGGCGTGGCTCGCCAACGCCGACTTGGTCGCTCGCTTTGAGCGCCAAGCGCCGCTCAACACACCGGACCCGTCGACGTTCTACTCGGGCGGTGCCAAGGGCTACAACGACTACCCGCTCTTGGCGTGATAACATTTGGTCATCCACTTGCTGTGCTACGTCTGTACTGGTGTTTGCGTCGAAAGCAGTGCTAGTGTTATGCAGGTTTGGGTTAAGACAAGTTGTACGAGTTACAATTTGTTGAAGAAAGCGAGATAGGATCCGAGTGGATCCTGTGGACATGGGTTTGGGGTTTGCAGAGAAGGGAATGGCTGTGGTAGGGATGAACACGCTGGTGAAAGACGCTGGTTGAAGGTTGCTCGGGAGCATTTTGTTTTATTCACTAGCATTGTGTTTTATACATGTTGGATTGGTTTTAAACACGCATGGATATCCGGTTAGATGCCAACGTATCCGAACCGGTTGGCATCGAGTCGATCGCCAGTAAATCGTCGAGCGCCGAAGATGCAGCGATCCATGCCCCTCCTGCGACGCGCGCTGTCGACCGCGGCCAAGCCGGTCAAGCCTGGTGCGTAACCTGCTTCCTGCATGCGATAGAAGATGCTTCGTCTGCACGGACCATGCTGCTGCTGGAAGCGACGGCTCATGCGTCCTGTAGAGTACCCGACATCGTTCCTTGGCCACCTCACGTCGCAGAAGCTCAACGTCTTCAACATTGGTGTCACGGTCTTGACGCTGTCGCTCTCGATCCAGCTCGTGGCGATGAAGCAGGAGAAGGAGGCCGTCGAGGCTATGAACGCGGTCTTGGCCAAGCGCATGGCCAAGCTCGAGGCGCGCCTCGCCGACTTCAACGTCAAGGTGCTCACGGACGAAGAGGAGGCGGCCGAGAAGGAAGCCGAGGCCATGCGCAAGCTCGACCGCGAACTGGAAGAGAAGGCCAAGAACGCGCCCAAGACCAAGGGCGTCATGATCTAAAGCCTCGCATTATAACGACAAAGCCTTGCAGCGGCTTCCTCTTCCTTTATACACCTATGTCCCGCTACTTCTTGGTCGTGCCTGGGAGCGACCGCTTCGTCGAGTTCGAGTCGAGCTTGTTCATTTCGTTGACGGCCGTCAGGATCTCGTTGATGTTGGTTTCCAGCACCATGCCGCCCATGACGATCTCGTCCAAGACGTAATGCACCTGCGTCCATGAGCCAATGCCATCGGATCAATGAGTACCTTGTCGCTGTGGAAGATCAGGTCGAGCTCGCACACGTTCTCAAAGCACTTGTCGAGCGTCTCGACAAAGACTACATTGGCTCCATGAGGCCATCGTTGGGGAGATGGACATACCTTGGATGAGGTCGAGGATGCCAAGGTCGCTCTCTTGCTTGTCGACCGCAAACACAAAGTAGAGCGTCGCGTAGTGGCGGTAGATGAGCTTGATGCCATCGCCCCAGTAGCGCACGCTAGCCAAGCGCATGAGTCAATGGCGTCCATAGACCATGTAGCATGCGCGTACCTGCCCTCGAGAAAGTTGCAGAGCGTGTCCGGGCGCTTGGACACTTGCGTATAGATATCGCGGATGACCGCCTGCTGCTCTGCGTCCGGCTACATGCGCATGAGGTCGACGTCGGCGAAGAGCGCATGTGACGTACGACGTGCTCGTAGAACTTGACGATACGCGCCTTCCCGTGGTTGTTGACGATCAGGATCCCCTTGATCATGCTGGCCGCTTCGATATTGACGACGACGCAGGCCCTCAACCTTCCATGCGTCGATGCCATTGGTCAAAAAGCGTCGCTATTTTTTCGATGGATGGGATTTCAGCCAATCCGGGCGCGCCACTTGCGGCGCCCAAGAAAGGCCGAGCATCCGATGCGAAGCTCTCTCAGCTAGATCGCTCAGCTCCGTCCCTCAGCACAGTGTTGAGCAATACCTCGTCACGGCTAACCAGCTAAACTGTTGCCCAGGTATCGCCCTTGCAAATTGCACGTACTCTGGGAGGTTGAGAACTGGGCTACATATAGCTACTCTAGCTACATTGCGGGCGCTGGGCCGTCGACCAGCAAAAGCACCCAGGTCAGCATCGCAGCAGAGTGACATACCTTGATGTCAAGTAGAGCTAATACGTGGCCTGGTGCTTACAAAGACATGGGCGCTACGCTCGTTCGCATGTGCTAACTCGTAGTTCATCGTGCTGCCACCGATAGCAACATGCAATCATATACGTTCTTATTCCAGCAAGTAGATGCGGTTGGCAATGTCTGTGACCATCCAGTCGATGCCGTCGACGAGGCCATCGCCGGTGAACGCGCTGCACGACTGGATCTTCCAGTGGCGGTTCTCGAATTGCGCTTCGTGGAGCCCGAGCGCAACCACGATTTCGTCCGGGCTGAGCGCGCCGGGGAGGTCCTGCTTGTTGGCAAAGATGAGCAGCGTCGCGCCCGTGAGCTTTTCCTGCGTCAAGAGCGCTGCGAGCTCGCGCTTGCAGTCGTCCATGCGGCGGCGGTCGGCGCTGTCGACGACCCACACGAGGCCGTCCGTCTGCTCAAAGTAGTTGCGCCAGTACGACCGAATCGTCTGTTGACCGCCAACGTCCCAGACGTTGAGCTTGAACTGCTTGTACTCGAGCGTTTGGATGTCAAAGCCCAGCGTCGGGCTGATCGTCGTGATGTCTTGGCCCATAAACTTCTTGATGATCGTCGTCTTGCCTGCATTGTCGAGGCCGCTAGACAAGAGGTAGCATGAGCCACCGCCACCTCGTCGTCGCCACGTACAGCACAAGGATCCGGACCTCCTTCTCCTTCTGCTTGACCTTCTTCAAGATCGTGAGCAGCCCCATACCGACGAAAGCAAAATTGCAAGCCAATTCGGCAGGACGGTCGCCAGTAGACTATTCGAACGCAACTTTTCGATCACTCACACAGGAGACCTGTGTGTTTCTAGTGCAAACGCTTTGCAAGCACCTACCCACGGATGCAAATGCAGGTGTGTCGATATGACCGCAGTGCGCTTGCGTCCGTCGCTCCGACGACTATCGCAGGAGAAGCGACCACATGGCTTAAATCACGTGCAAATAGACAGGCCTTCCTTACCGACGATTTTTTAACAAGAAATAAAACCCGGTTCACGGGGCATGGAAGCGACAGCCGAAGGGACGTTCGAGGCGACGCCACAAGGCCGGCCGAGCTTCCGCGATGGGACCGAGGCCAAGGCCAAGGCGCCGAAGCGCGGGCTGCGCCATCGACTCACCTACCTCGACAAGCTCCGCATCATCGACCACTTCCGCGCGACGGGCAGCATGCCCGAGACGCTCCACCACTTCTTCCCGCGCCTCGTCGGGCGGGCGCTCGATACGAAGCGCAAGAACATCTACAAGTGGGCGAGCATCCGGGCCGACATTGAGAAGAAGGCCAAGCACCCGATTCATGGGTCGCAGACCAACTCGCGCCCGAAAGGCGTGGGTACGACGCTCTCGCCGGCGGCCGAGGACCAGATCCTCGAATGGATCGTGCATTTGCGCAACAACGCCGTGCCCGTGACCGAAGACATGCTCCAAGCCAAGGCGCTCGAGGTCGCCAAGGCCTTTGGCTTCTCGGCGACGCAGTTCAAGGCCGATTGGCACTGGCGCAAGCGCTTCATCAAGCAGTACCACCTCATGCCCGAGTCGCCGCCCTCGTCGCCCGCCCCTAGCGACAGTGACAACGACAACGAGACGCATCAGCATCAGCACGTTCGAACTGTACAGCTCTAATAATGCGCTCTCAACGCTCTCGCTCCTTCATGGTCGATGTACAGTAGTTATTACTATTTCGCACTGCCATAGATGCGCCGAACGACGTTGCTGCGACTGTACGTTGTCGTTCTCGCTGTCTTGGCCTGCATTGCGGCCGCGTGGAAGGGGTCCTTGACCTTCTTCTGGACATCGAGGTGCAGGACGGGCGTCGCCTTCTTGGAGGCGACCATGTACGCGTCAAGGCGACGCTCTTGGCGAAACTGCTGCACTTGGGCCAAGTGCTGGCGCTGGGCCATAATCTCCTGGAGCTCCTTCTCCCGCTGGAGCCGCGTCTCCCGCAAGAGCTTCTCCGAGGCCTACAAACCCTCGGCAGTCGCGCGACGGACCATGAGAACGAACGTACGAGTCGGTGGGCATGTTCGAGGAGAGACCGGTCGTGGACCTCCCGCTCGCGCTGCTCCTTGGCCAACTCCATTTGATGGGCATAGCTACACATACGCAACATATCAGTATGACGGGATGCAAGATGGCAAAGATGTACAAGGTCTCGAGCGCGGCCTCCTTCTTCTTGTGGTCTTGTTGAATCGTATGGAGGGCGGCGGCCGTCGCCTCGTGCTCTTGACGCACGCGCTCGCGCTCCATCTCGAGGAGCGAGTCCATGGTCTGCTTCAGGTGCTTCTCTTCCTACAGCACGTTGGCATCGGCGCATCGTGCTCGCAGAGGTCGTACGACACGCTTTTGGTCCAACCCGAGCGAAATGCGCTGGCGCCGAAGCTCGTGGTGGATCTTGATGGCGCGAATCTAGGATCTTATAGTATCAATGTATCAATATAGGTCAAAATGGCGTACGCGTTCGACTTGCTGCGTATGCTGTTGCTGCTGCAGCGCACGCCCGAGCCGGTCGTGCTCTTGCTTTTCCCGCTAGTGTGAAAAGAGAGTGGGAAAGCATGTTGAACGAGGTACGTACGTGGCGCAGGCTGTGCACGTGGTCGCTGAGAACAGCCTTGTACCGCGCTTGGTGCAGTCGCTCGGTCGCGCCAAGGAGGGGTTGCGGCTGCAGTCGTTTTGGAGGCAACGCAGACGCCGATGTCCGCAAAGACGACGCCATGGAGACCCCGCCGTACGACAGCATGTCCTCGAGCCGGAGCTTGGCAGGGAGGCTGGATCGATCGCCGCTTCGGTTCATGGCTGTGGCGACCGGCGCCGGTGGAGGACTCGCTTTTCGCAGATGTTCGGCTGCGTGCACGGGTAAAGGCAGAGGCAACGGCGTGTCACTCTCGTCCGGTTCGACGTGCTCGTTCTCGTCGCCGGGTCCTTCTGTCGCATTCGCATGCTCCTCCTCGTCTTCGTCGTCTGGATGAAAGCTAAAGATGGACGTATCGTCGAGCTCGCCCTTTTCGCTGCCCGTGAACGAGACGGAAGAGACGCTGCCAAAGGCTGCGCTGGGCGGTGAGCCGCGCCGCGTCTGACTCGGCTTTGGGTTGCGCGATGACGCTGACGATGATGCACTGGACGCAGATGCTACGGACGCGCGTCGACTGCTGCGTGTCGACGACGACGCGCTGGGCATGGGCACGTACCGGCCGTACGCTTGCGTGGTCAAGAGCCCCGTCTCGTCGTCCGGCGGTCGCTTGGCGCGCTTGCTCGCTGTCGGTTTCTTGGATCGCTTGATGTAGTAGGTCTCGTGGAGACTGCGGTCGCTCTCGCTGGACGCGTCGTCGTTGCGCTGGGAGCGGCGCAGCATTTGATACACGTGGGTGAGGACGCGGACAAGGTCCCGGATCGCGGCCAAGTCGCCAGTACACACTTTAACGCCGGTCACGTTGGCGAGGTCGTCCGAGAGCATGGCGGCGGCGAGCGCATCAACAACGCGTTGAGCGTTCTCGCTGTAGTCGGCGATTGTCTTGGGCTCACGAACGACGTTCTCAAGACGCAGCTCAAAGAGGCGCTCGTACAGCGCGACGCTCATTGAGGAGACGCTGGCCACGAGCTCAGGCACGGTCTTGAAGGTCCGGTCGCCAAAGCCTGTGAGCCGCAAGAGCGCGTTCGTCTCTTCAATGAGGCGTGCTTCGTCTCGGTCCATCATCTTGCCGTTAGTAGCCAACGTGGTGGCCGAAATATCGAAGGTGCAACCGCCCGACCGTTCGATTTTTTCGAGATTGGATTTTTACCAATCCACGACGTGGCATCCATTTGGTGGGTTCCAATTGGCTAGTGAAATCTCAATTCAGCCAATGGCCTGCCACGGCTGCACGATCGCAACACGGTTTGTCGATGCCACGACCATCAGACAGCGAAACCTACTCTACCTTGCGCTAGCCCATGGGCAGACCGAGCGAAGCGACCTTCTCTGCGTGGCGTCCTCATCACCGCTAGGTAGATGAAACATGTATGTATTCCCGAGGCTTAGCCGCGGCGCTTGGAGACGGTGCACATGTGAACGGGTCCTTTTTGGCTCGACGACGTAGCAATGATGGCTTCGGTCGCATCGTGCGCTTCCGTCTTCTTGTTGGCGGCGAGCACGACAAGACATGTGCCGGCGATGACAAGGACGCCGCCGATCCACGTAAGGATGCCGGGGATGCTATCGACGCCGAGGAGAACGCCGATTGCTGTCGCGAGCACGGGCTCGAGGAGCATGACGACGCTCACAACGATCGGGTCAAAGTACTTCATGACGCTAATGTAGCCCATCGTGCCGATGATCGTGCACACAAACACGAGGTAGAGCTCGATGCCGAGGCGGTCGCTTTGGATCCAGCCAAAGAGTCCGATCGTGTCGTCGATGCTCCAGAGGTCGTTGGGGATCCCAAGGACGTAAAAGACGGGAAAGTGCAGTAGCATAGTGACCACAAAGAGCAGCGTCATGTAGAGGAAGACGTCCATGTCTGCGCGAAGCTTCTTGGCCGTGAGGAGGTAGAAGACCCCACCGACAGCGCCGATGAGCGCAACCACATCGCCTTGCCACGACGGCGGCACCGCACTCGAGTTGGCGTCGACGCCCGAGTGATCCAGAGTGGTGACGACGCCGCCAACGATGCCAAGGGCCGACCCGAGCGCTTCAAAGAGCACGACGGGCTTGCCGAGCAGCACCTTGCCGAGCACGATGAGGAGCGAGTGGCAGTTGTTGAAGATGTAAGCGTGTCCGATCGACGTGTGGTTGAGCGACCAGAGAAAGGTCATGAGGAAGAGCGCGTACGAGACGCATGAGAAGAGGAAGACGAGCAAAAGCGACGGCGTCCAGCGCGGCCACCCGTACGCGTGGACCGAGTAGAATGCAAACGGAAGGAACCCGAGGATCGACGCGGTCGTGCGCCAGAAGAGCTTGACGAACGGGTCGACGCCGGCTTGGAGGTCGAGCGCGGCGCCCAGCGACGAGATGGTGAGGAGCGCGGCAATGAGGAGCGCGTACCCGACGAACGGCACGCGCTTCTCGACGACGAGCTGCACGTGCATGACGTGGTGCGCATCCGACCCACTCTCGTACACGGTCTCGACGCTCACGTGCGTTATGTCGGTCGGGAGGTGCGAGAACCGCCGCACGAGCGACGACTCGGTGCTCTCGTCGAGGTACACGTCGGACGGCGTCGACTCGGGCACGGCGAGGACATACTCGGTCGCGTCTTCCGCGACCGGAATCAACAGCGCACTGCGCGACGTGAGCAAGAGCGGCGCGGGCACGGGCAGCGGCAGCGGCGTCGTGGCCTCTAGAAAGGCCGCTTTTCGCCGCTCGACAATGTGCTTTGCCGTGACTTGGAGCCGACCAATCGTCCGCACCGCGGTCTGGAGCTTGGCTTTTGCCGTCCGGGGTCGTGTCACGGGCAAGAGCGACGTTGTCTCGGAGGGATGCAGCACGAGCTGGTCGACGCCGACGACAAAGCCGTCGAACGCATGCGGCGCCGTGACCACGTGCTTGGACTCGCTCTGAAGGCCGGCCACAAGGTCTTCTTCGGGCACGCCCGCGATGCGACTCAGCGCCTCGAGGTCCAGCGCGTAGACGTCGCCCATGCTTGTTGTACTCTGCCACACAACCCCAAAATTGCGATCTTTTTCGCCGCTTTTGATTGGTTCAAATGCAACGCCAAGGATCCAATCACAAGCACGAGATCCAAGTCGCGCCAGATCCAGATCCAGATTTCCAACGCACAATAACTAGATGTGGTTCATGCGATATCAACAGCTATTCGTCAAAGACGAGGGGCTTCTTGGCCTTTGGTGGCTCGGAGCGGCCAACGCGAAGGTGCTCGGGCGCATACTTGCGGTGCATCAAGCTCACAAGTGTCTTGAGCTATCGACGCCATGGAGCTCGCGTCAGAGAGAGGGTCACGCCTACCTGGTGCCATTCTTCGCACTGCATCGCCTTGTTGGCGTCCGCGAGCAAGTCGAGTTTGCCCAAGAGCAGCGAAATGTCTTGGGTCTTGGCGTCATTCAGATAGGCTTGGAGCGCGAGGTCCATGAGCCCGATCTTCATGCAAATCATCTCGTAGGGCGGCGCGGTCACGTGCACGTTGTTTTGCGCATACGTGTGCGTGAGCGAGTCGACGAGCGCTGCGACAATGTCGATCACAATGTGGTAGCCGACAGGAAACTCGAGCGGTTCCTCCTAATAGCCGCATGAGGGTTTGCATTCGAATGATACTCGAGTACGTTGGCGGCGCCGTTTTGGTCGATGCGGTGCTGCAGCACGTAGACCGCAAGGCCGGTCGTGAGCTGCGTGCCACGGTCCGTGCGCGGCAGCCGCCGGGCGATCGTGAGCCAGCCCGCCGCCGACTTGAAGTAGCCTTCGCTGCCGCTCGCAATCTTCATGATGAGCTTGCGCGCATAGTCGCGTCGCCACTCGCGCGGGGTAAACTGGTCTAAGAGCGCTTCCAGCGCATACGACGTGAGCTCGAGCAGCTGCGGGCGGATCGTCGTCTCAAACTGCAGCCGGAGAAAGAATACAACCGCGCAAAACGTGTCAAAGTCGGGCAGCTTCATGCTCTCGGTGCGGAGCGCGAGGATGAAGACCATGACCGTGTACTCCATGTTGAGCGACGGGAACGGCAGCGCGTCATTGACTGTTGTCGTCTCACGCGTCGACGCACGCTGGACGCTGTTGAGCCCGCGCTTCGTCTCCTGGAAGCCGTAGAGCTTGAAGGTTGCGAGAAAATGGTCGAGCTCCAAGCTCTTGGCGGCCATACTGATCGGCAGCGGGACGTGCTGGGCGAGAAGCGCCGACGGGAGGCCGTTCGTAAACTACTCGAACCCACTTGAGCCCATTGAAGCAGTGATCAAAGCAATGGAGCGACCTGGACGATGTCGCTCTTGTTGGATGTCAGAAGGAGGAACAGGTTGAGAAAGGCGCCGCGGACAATGTGGTCATTCGGGTGGGCGCCGACTACGAGTATGTCGTGCGACGTGAGCCAAGTGCTGTGACGATAACCTCTACCTACCAAGGGCAAAGAGGTAGGCGGTAATCGGCGCAGGGGCTTCGACGAGCCCGCATTTCTCATGCAAATAGATCAAGATGATTTTGGAGTGAAGGAGCGACCCGAGCTCTTCGAGGTTGTCTGACACACATCATTAGCCATCGTGGGTGAACGAGAGATGGACCTGTGGCCAGGGCGATCGCGTCGTAGAGAAGAGCCAGGTCCGCGTCGTCCGTCTTGACGCTCTCGAAACGGGGCAGCGGAATCGGCTACGACGACGAAGAGTCCATACCTATGGAAGACCCGAGATGCTACCTCGGTCATAGGCTCAAAGACGTAGCCAAATTGCTCGGTCTCGGCCTGCTTTTCGATCGAGAAGAGGTGTTCGTCGGCCTGGAGGTCCTTGAGGTTGGCCGCGATCTCGCTGTCCATGACGTGGTCTTGCTCCTGGATCTCGGCCGTCTCTTGCATGATCTTTTGCAGCTTGCGCGTGTGTTCCTTCTTCTTCTCGACTTCGGCGCTGTCGGCCGCGAGGAGCGCGTCGAGGCTGTCGAGGAGCGGAATACCACTCGCCGTTTCCTTGCGCTTGTTCACGCGCTTCCTACACAAAGCATGAACATCAGTGCATGTAGTCATACATACTTGATGGGTCGCGTGTCCTTGAGCTGGCGCAGAATGTCCACGTCCGAGTCTTCGCTGCCATCGTCCGCGCCCTGCTTGGGCTTCTTCAAGGCCGCTTTCCGTGGGTGCTGCGGCGCCGCCTTGGCGCGGCTGGGCGGCTTGCGCTCGGGGCTTGGCGACGCCTCTCGGCTCGGCGGCGCGTCGGCAGCGGCCTCGACCCGGGCTTGGACGCGTGAGCTTCGTCGCATCGCTTGCAGCATGCTGTCGGGATCCTGCACTCCTTGCCGACTCCAATTGTTTTTTAATTATTTAAAACGATCGGTTTTTGAGCAACCAATCGAGACAGTCTTGATAAAACCCAGACAGGCCGCACGGGCTTGTGTGCTAGACTGCAACTAGAAAAGTGAACTAGAACTACTAACTGCTGGCACCCTGGCACGGGCTCGGTACACCCCCATAACAACGGTCTTCCCGTAGGACGATCTCCAACGATGACATCACCTCGTCCCCGGCCCTGTGGTTCGAGAGCTGACTAGATATGAATATCCAGTGCTCAACTACTGCATGAGGCTACTGCATGAGGCAGCAACTGCCTCTCAGCGCTGATCGTTGCAGGTGTGCTGTACATAGCGCTCGTGCTATGCGTGGAGCTTCATGCACAGAACGACTACTAGTATAGCACTGGCTTGGCTTGGCTTTTCTGGGGTGCAATGTGTCGAGCGTCGCAGGTTGGCTCTCATCAACCGACGAGCCACGTGTCGCTGACCCACGCTAACTCGCAACCAAGCAAGACTAGAGTACTAGCTCGACGCGCGGTCGCCACGCCTCGAACGTCATACAGGAGCCACCCGGCGCGGTCGATGCGACCATTGGCAAACCCTATTCCCCAGTTGGTACAACCACTAGCTACCGGTACCCGAGACGCGGAACGTTGGCGGCCAAGCCGAGGAGCGAAGGCCAGCCTGTCTCTGTGAGCAGTGTGCCCACCATTATGCTCGATACCAGAGGAGCTCGGTTGCTGCTTGTTGACCGAACCTTGGCGCGACCACGACCTGTGCACCACACCAGGCGCGCGTCGTGTCGCTTGTCCTGCGCAGTAACCCCGTTTCCCTCCACAGCGTCAAACTCGACCTTCGCCACCAACACCAGCGACGGTGGTCGCGATTCGGATACTGCCGTCGTCGTTGCAGCCGGTACTCGTAGTCGCAGCTTCGGTTAGCCGATCGACGTGGTCGAAGTCGGCACGCTTGCAGCGCAGAACGCTGGGGTAGAACCACTGGGGCGGTCCAACAACACACTAATATTGTCCATAATTCCATCAATAATTACATGAAAAAATACATAAAAAGAGGACCCGAGCGCGCTCGTGGTGGGCCGACCATCGATCAATTGGGCTGCGACGTGGCGCGACGAGGGCTGGCGACGGCGTCGGTCCATGTTGAATGGACGGTTCTGACGCCCTGCGCAATTCGGCAAATATATTAATATTGCGGGTTTTTGGGCTTTTGGCTGCAATATTAAATTCGTTTCTCGCATCCAATCAGCGTGCGCGGCCGGCTTTGTGTTCGTTTATTTTATTTTTTGCCGACAGCAACCCCTGGCCGAAGCATCATGATGAGCGTGGGGCAGCTCTGCGCCCAGGACCATGAGAGCGCGAGCGACATGGAGGACAAGCCGCTGGCGCTGGAGAAGAAGAAGGCGAGCCAGAAGCGCCGGCGCGAGTACAGCCCCAAGCCGTCCGAGGAAGAGCTCGACACGGCCGACACCAACGAAGAGGACGACGACGACGACGATGACGACGACTTGAGTGGTCGCAGCGACAACGAGCGCCGTGGCAGCGACCACAACCGTTGGTATTGCAATGTGTGCAAGGATGGCGGCGAGCTCCTCTGCTGCGACCGGTGCCCGCGCGCGTTCCACACGGCGTGTCTGACCATGGACCCGGACGACGTCCCGTCGCCCGACAGCAACTGGTACTGCAAGCTGTGCAGCGACACGCTCGAGCGCCGAAAGGCCAAGCGCGACGTCAAGGAGATGCGTCGCAAGCGGCGCGAAGAAGAGAAGCGCCAGCGCGAACTGGTTCGCTATGAGAAGCAGCGGGCCAAGGACGAAGCGTCCGCGCGCCGCAGCGCCAAGGCGCTCGAAGACAAGGCCAAGCGCGTTCTCGACATGAGGGAGCGCATTGTCAAGAAGCAAAAGGTCACGTACAAGGACCGCGAGGAAGAGAAGCTCGGGAAGATTGCCGAGAACCTCGCGGAAACCATCCGACAGGCAAAGGAGCGTCTCGACAAGCTCGAGAAGGAAGACTTGGCGCTCCGGAAGCGCGAACAGGCGCTCACCAAGAAGCGTGGGTACCCGATCGAAGACCTCGAGGTCGTGCCCGACGACGACGCGCCGCCGGAGCCCCGACCGACGTACGTCCTTTCTCTCTCCAAACTGCGTACTCACCACGTCTTTCTTCAGGCCCGTCCCGTGCGACTTTGGCGGTCTTCCGTCAAGCGTCTTCCACGACCTCTTGCCGGTCTGGGACTTCGTCTACTCGTTCCACGACCTCCTCGGCCTCTCGCCCATCTCGATCGAGCAGCTCTGCAGCGCGCTCGCAACATCGGACGCCATGACGACGCTCGTCAGCGAAGTGCACATGGCGCTTCTCGACTTGATTTTAGAAAACCGGTACGACATCGCGTCCCATATCCTCCATGGGCTCATGTCCATATGCACGCAGCGAGGACGCGAGCTACGTGCCCGAAGAAGAAGACGATATGGATGCCATGGACCGGTACCGGTACGAAGTCGTCCACGCGCCGCTCACGGTCGGCGTCCCGACCTCCAACATGCTCAACTTCATCTCGTGGCCGTCGGTGCTGCGTCATCTCATCTGCGCCGTACCCCGGTACTTTAACAATGCGTCGCCTGACCTCCGCGCGGCCGTCGACGGCCTCGCCCAGCACGAGATTTACGCGCTCCCGATCGCGCACAAGGTCGCCTTGCTGCGGTTCCTCGTGACGCTTGCGTACAGCACGAACAAGGTCGGGTACCTCATCAACCACAACGCGACCGAGCGCGTCGAGGCCGCCAAAGAGCACAGCCGAATGCTCTTCCACGAGAAGCGCGCGGCCGCCGAGGAAGACAAGAAGCTCAAGGAGCTCCAGCGCGCCGAGAAGGCGCGTGTCGCGTCCGAGCAAAAGTCGGCCATGAGCTCGTGGCTCAAGGGCGGCAAGAAGGGCGCGCCGCCGACTGACGACGACAAGAGCGTCAGCGAGAACGCGTCGGTCGCGTCGGCGAGCGACAATGACGACTTGGACTCGGACGAGAGCAGCGGCACGGACGAAGAAGAGACGTCGCTCAAGGAGATGCAAGCGAACGGCGTCATTTCGCGCCAAGAGTACCTCTCGCGACGAAAGAAGCTCCAGGCCGAGAAGGACGAGAAGCGCCGGGTCCGGCTCGAGACGCGGAAGCGCCAAAAGCAAAAAGAGCAACTCGCGCGGAAGCGGCAGCTCGTGGCGGAAGAGCTCCACGTGGCCATGGACATTCGCGACGTCGACCGCCTCCGGTCGTCGCTCAAGGCGGCGCGGGACCTCGGCATGCACTCGAAGCGGGCCTCGCGCAACGGCGAGCCCGCGACCTCGGCCGACATCAAGCTCGTGGAGGACGCCGACGAGTTTTTGGAGCGCCTCGAAGCCGACTTGGTCAAGGAGCACGAGATGGAAGAGCGCAAGCGGGCGTTCGACAAGACGATGCGTCAGTTCTTCGTGCGCACCGAGCCGGTTGGCAAGGATCGTATGAAGCACAAGTACTGGGTCTTCCGCGGCGATGGGTCCCGTGTCTACGTCGAGAATGACAAGCACGAGTGGGCCTACTACGACCAACTGAGTGACGTCAAGGCGCTTGTGACGGCGCTCGACGCGCGTGGGACGCGCGAACACCATTTGAAACTCGAGCTGGCGTCGCTGCTCGAGACGACGCTGACGCCAGTCAAGGAAGAGAGCGCGTGGACCAACAAGGCGCGATCGTGGTCGGCGCAGCTCTTGCCCAACATGTCGGTCGACGACCTTGTTGCGCAGCTTGTACACCTTGAGAGCTGGCTCTCCAAGCACTTGGAGGACAAGGCGTCCGAGTCGTGGACGACGACGACCAAAGAAACGTGGCGCACGACGGTGCAAGCGTGCCAGACCGCCAAGGACCTCGTCGCGCCGCTGTTGGCCATTGAGCGCCAAGTTACCGACGCCCACATGCCCAAGCTCCTTCACGACAATGACGAGCACGATGTCGACATGGAGGAGGACGAAGACGATGACGAAGACGAGACGTTTGTGGATACCGGACTCTGGCCGTCCAAGCAAGCGCGCGACCGGTGGGTCGGCACCGTGCGCTCAAGCACGACGCTCTCGAGCGTCGGGTTGGCACTTGCGTCCTTTCTCCAGCGAATGGACGTCATCGGTCTCTCCGAGTCGAGCGTAGCTCGCAAAAGCATCCGAAAGGAAAAGGAAGAGAGCAAGATGAAGGAGGACCCGGACACGCCGACGAAAGAAGCGCGTCCGTCCAAGGCCCACGAGTGGGAAGAATACTGCTGCATCTGCGGCGACGGCGGCGAGCTCCTCTGCTGGTACGCGTTTTTGTAAGGTTTGGTTGTACTTGAGCGTTGGGTGTAGCGATGGCTGCCCCCGGGTCTTTCACTATACGTGCGTGGGCCTCCGCCGTGTCCCTCGTGGCAAGACGTTTTGCCCGCACTGCGACAAGAGCGTCAAGCCCGTGTACCCGGTGGTTCGGAGAGCCAACCTCGAGCGCGAGGTCAAGGCCGAGTCGTTGGCGTCGCCGACACGTGACGCCAAGACGCCGTCGACGCAGCAGTGGGACTCGTACTGCAACGACTGCGGCGCCGGTGGCACGCTCTTGCTCTGCGACGGCTGCCCCAAGGCGTTCCACGCGGCGTGCCTTCAGCTCGATGAGGTACAACTCAACGCGCCGATCGTATGAGACGCGTATGTGGTCGCGTAGGACGATCTGAGTCCAGGGGAAGACTGGTTTTGCTCGGAATGCGAAAACCAGTCGTGCGGGCAGTGCAAGCGCGGCCGCATTCGCATGGACTCGCACGTCATTTGCGGCTCGGAGGACGGGACGCGCGGTTGTGAGCGCGTCTTCCACTTGGTAGTCATCCCGAATCGTCCATTTATACTCACCATCTTGCTGCGTAGAAATGCGTCAAGCTCGCGGCCGTGCCGGCGGACGACTGGTACTGCAAAAAGTGCCAAAAGCAGCTCAAGTAGCTCCATATATATACGTCATCCTTCTCTGTACACGCCGGCTACGAAGGCACGTTGCCACACCTCTGCTATGTGGGACCAAAGGAACCGCTGGCGCGCGTCCTGCACCATGGCAGCGCGTCGGGCGGCCAACTCCTTTGGGTCCATGCGCGCCGCAGCAATCACACTGTGCAGCCAGTCGTGGATCCACGCCTCGGACGCTACCAACACCCTCAGCACCGGAGAGGACAACGCATCGACGCACCGTCGTCAACGAGCGCGGTCGCCGGACCCATGTCATGTGGTCCCACGACCTCGGCGAGTGCACCGCGCTTGGATGTAATGGGGATCGCGCCGGCCGCCATCGCCTTCATGATCGAAACGCAGCTCGTCTCGGGAAACGTGGTGGGGTAGAGGTAAAAGCCAGCGGTCGCATACCTGCACCACCACTATGTTGTTGCCAGCAGGAGACAGAGTAGGACGGATACCCGCGGGCGAGCGTACTATGGTCGACGAGGCCGTGGTAGGCAATGCCGTCCTGGGCCAAGAGAGCTTCGATGCGGCGTTGCCACTCGATCGAGGCCGTTCGACGCACGGCGGCTGTCAGCCCATAGTACACCTACACACAGAGTCGGCGGGGTCGGGGTAGGGTCCGTCTACATGGAGCGTGGCGTTGGGCAGCGCCTGGCGCAGGGTGGGCCAGTGCAGCAAGAGCGTCTCGAGGCCGCGTGTGGGTGCACTCCCATACACAAAACGGTGGGGGTCGTTGCGTCCGACGACGAACGCGGCGGGTGGGACGCCATTGCCCGAGAGCCGTAGCTTGGGTGTGTCGAGAAGAAGCGTCGCTTGGGCGTGGAAGCGCGAGAGGCAGAAGACCCCTGTGAGCGACGCCAGGAATCGCGGCGTCAAGACGCGGCCGTCGATCACGTCGTGCAGCCACACGAACGACTGGGTCGCGGCGGTGGCCAACGCCACGGAGATGTGGTATCGCCACGCAACAAACACGTCTACAAGATAGTGCTAGGAAACGTATCAATGTATCAGGAGCCCACCAATGTGCGCGGTCGCATCGAACGCTGCATGCGAGAACCAGCGGACGCCTTCGCCATCGACGCCAACGTCCGCCGCACGTGGGTCGGCGTACACGCGCACGTCGAGTCCGAGGCGGGCGAGCGCGCGGGCCAAGTAGATGACGGCTTCTTCCGAGCCGCCGACACCATCCCGCGTCGACGACGGTCCCCAGTGCGGCCACCTACATGTGCTCTCAGCTCTTCTTGGGTTCTGGGGTAGCTACCAGGTTTGGCCGTATTCGTAGCAGTAGATGACCACAATGCGACCGCCGGTGCGTGGTACGGGCGCGTCCAGCACATGTCGAGCGTGCGCTGCTTTGTGCTCAGCGACCACCGCCTCCATGGCAAGTGCGTTCGCCGCGTCAAAGTCGCCGAGCGTCTGGAGTAGCACGCCCAGATTGTACTTGGCCTTGACCACCATCTTCAGCGGCACGTCCTCGCTTTGGTTGAGAAACGTAGAGCGCAAGAGAGCGATCGCGACGGGAATGTGGCCAAGCTGTGCATGGGCGTACGCAACGTGGAAGAGATGCGCGAGTCTTTCGGTATGACTCCAAAGCCGCGCCACCTACAGTGCACTTGCTACTCTCGCTGGTCGAGCAGAGATCGTTGGCGACCTGGGGGTAGTACCGGGTGTGGGCTTCGAGCACCGCCGCATGCATGGCCGCGTCAACAAGGAGCTCGGTGAAATGCCACAACGCGCGGGGCTGGCTCGGTTCGAGATGCAGTGCCAGTGCAAACTACGCGTTGCCATCGGTACTAGGACCGAAGAGTGCAATGCATACCTGCTGGAGCGCACTCGTAGTGTCGCCGGCTGCTGCCAGCATCGTCGCAAAGTTGGCGCGGTAAAAGCCCACATGAGGCATGCGCTCGATCGACTGCAGCAAGAACGGAAGCCCCAATCGTGTCTGGTCGAGGGCGTGCAAGAGCAAGCCGTAGAGGTGCAGCGCGTCCGCGTGGTCGGGCCGCACCGAGAGCAGTCGGCGGTACCCGACTTCGGCGATGGCAAACTCGCCGCGCGTCTGGTGCGCCAGCATCTCGTGCACAATCGCGTCGGCCATTCCAACGCGCCGGACGTCCCGATGACGCGCCACCGGATGCACGACCACATGCATGCGCACGGGCGCTAGCTCGAGCATGAGGCGGTAGCTCGCTTCCAAGCGTTTGGTGGTATCGGCCGTGTCAAAGAGGCGCGTGTCGAGCGTCGAAGCCGCCACAACGCGCCGCAGCTGCTGCAAATGCGGTCGGTGCGTCGTCGCGAGGGCCACCGCCATGTCTTCGTACTCTTTCATGCTATACGTCGTGAGCAAACGCGCGGCGTCGGCGTCCAGGAGCCGGAGCAAGCTGCCGGCGACCCGGGCCGCAAACGTGTGCCCCACCAACGTCAGCACCGGCAAGTTGGCCCAGAGCATATCCGACGCCGTCGAGTGCGCATTGTACACGAACGAGTCTAGAAAGAGGTGCGCGTGGCGGAGCCGACTCAAGTGCGCGGCTTTCGCAACCCGGGGCGCAAAGAGCAGCCGACGCGGGTCGACGCCCCGGGCCGCCGCTTCGGCGCGAAACGTGGCCATGACGCCCGCATCCACCGCGCTGGGTTCGAGCAGCCAGAGCACGCTGCGGGGCACGCGCTTCAAGATCCGCATCCACGCGTCAAACGACGTCGACTCCATCTTGTTGATCGTATTGAAATTGCAATAGACAAACGACGCGCGCGGCTCGTACGCCGTCAGCTCCGAGACGCAGTGCGTGACGCACGTCTCGACGCTCCACGCATAGTCGTTGACTTGGTACGTGTGCGGAAGGTACACTATTTTTTCTGAAAACGTCGATGCGACCCGCGTGGGGGGCACGACGTACGCGTCGACGATCGCATAGTCGGTAAAGTCGGCGCCCATGCTGCCAGGGTACCCGAGGTAGTTGACGACGATGGGGGCCGGGTGCAGACTGCAAATGCCAACTCGGGCCCCGCGGGTGTGGCCCATGAGATCAAGCAGAATCTGGATGCGGTCTTTTGCAATGGCGGCAGCAATCTCGACGTCCGAGAGACGCTGCACATCGGCAAAGACGTGGCAGGCGGCGGCGATGCGACGGCGCCACTCGGACCCGTCGTCCGGACCGTACGAGTAGCCGTAGATTTGCAGCTGCCTCCTGTCGTGGTGCTCGATCGCACCGACCGTGAGCTGGCCCATCGGGTGATTCCGAAAATCGTAGCTCAAGTACCCGACGCGCAGTGGAAGACGCGTCGTATCTTTGGAGGACGCGAGCGCGTGCGACTGCTGCCATTGACGGGCGTTGGCGACCGCGATCGCCTTCTTGACGTCGTCGGCGATCGGCATGAGCGTCGCGTCAAAAGGCAGCAGCGACGGCACGTGCCTCATCTAGGACGAAAAATGAGACAACTTGTCCTTCAATTAGACAACTATTCCATCCGTGGTCACGCAAGCGTACTTGTATCTCGTGCAGCGTCGTGCGGAGAAGGCCTTCTTGCCAGTCGTCGGCGGCATCCCAGTGGCACAGTTGCCGACGGGCGGTAATGACGTTGAGCCGCGTGTTGCTATCGCGCGGGTCCAGCGCCAGCGCTTGCTCGTGCATGCGCAGGGCGTCGTGCACGCGCCCAATCTCCTTGAGAAACTGTCCCTTGTTGTTGAGCGCGCCAAGGAGGTCGCGCATGGTCGGTGCGATTCGAAGGAGCTTGTCTTGCTGCGCGAGCGCGGCCGCGAGGTCGCCCCTTTCGTGCGTTCAACGAAAGGTCATTGATGACGACGTACGTACTTGTAGTAGTAAATCGTACCAAGGTCCAAGAGCGCACCGGCGTGGTGCGGGTCGAGCTGCAGCACCTCGAGCAGGAGCGGGAGCGCGCCGTCGTTTTCGCCAAGGCTGCAGAGCGCCGACGCCTTGTTGTACAGCACCGACAGGTACGTAGCGTTCGCGCAAAGCGGCGGCCGCACGCGCAGCGCAAGGTCGTAGTGCTGGATCGCGGCGAGCGTCTGCGCATACCCCTTGCCATCGCGCGCCGTGTAGCCGAGGTTGTTCTGTGCAGATACATACGTTTCCCAGTCGCCATTCGAGGTCGCGAGCTCGACGGCCTTGGTGTGGTACGCCACCGCGTCGGCCATGCGGTGCTGGCGCCCGAGGATGTACCCGAGGTTGTTGTACGCTGGCGCAAACGCGTCGTGCGCAGCGATCGCAGCGGCGTAGCAGCGTGTGGCCTCGTCCAGCTTGTTGGCCGCCATGGCCTTCTGGCCAAGCGCATACTGCTCGAGCGCAGCTGTGACACTGGCGTGGTTGGCCGGCGTGGACGGGTACGGAAAGGCCGCGGCCGCGTGCCATGCCAGCGTCACCCACCGTGCGATCTTCCACATTTCAAACGACACGGACACTAAAAGCGATTAACACCATTTACAAAAGTCCAATGCATCGATTGCACATAAAACGAACACGCTTGGGATGCGGAAGCAATGACAGGGCGACGAGTGCGAAGGACAAGCTCGTACGCCAGAGGGTTGACCCAGGTCGGGCACTAAGGAGTCGCCCATCTCTTCTTCGTATAAGTACAGGTCAACACGAGTCGTTCTCCAAAAAAGAGTGTTGTTCCCTACATTTGAACGTCACACTATAATAAATGCCTACATGGAATAGTGTACTGTGATGTCAAATAGTGATGTCAATCCAGTATACTTTCTGAAATTTGGATCCCAACGGTATCCATTTCTCTCGATCCATCGGCATAGGATAGTAGCATAGGATCGAATACAACAACGCAAAAGAAGCTACTCGCTACACACGTCGTGTAGCACGCCCTATCGGGTTTGCTTGTACCCAGTACACCTACGAGCGCATATGAATGGTCACCGGGCTTTGCGAGCTTCTCTGATATAGAAAGAGGTACGTGCGTTCTCTCAGAGAAGCTCGGAGAAGGTACTTACTTTGGAGGCTTGCACCAGCCTGCCACCCGCCTGTAATTATATGCGTCCTCCAAGCACCTGGTCTTCTGCCTCTCGCACATTCGACGCAAGGAAGCGCACACCAACGGTCTTCTGCTTCTCTTAGTATCATCCGGATAAACTACGTGCCCACGACTCAATCTTTATCCGGACATACCAGAAGGAACCGCGATACCAGGCGTGCACTGAGAGTATACCCAACGCGCCGCATGCCCGTCCCCTCGTATCCAAGTGATACGACGTCCAGCGAGCTTTCGTTGCGTCCACGAGTTTGCACCACCTGCAAAAGGTCGTGCGCTTGTCGTCCGGATAATTTACGATCTTTATACGGAAGATTCCGCGACCAAGGTGGGCTACTTCAACTTTGAGGTGTGCCACGAAGAGCGACGGGACCGGATGGCCACGGTCGCCATGCTTGCCGCTGCCCTGCGACAGGTGCTGGTAGCTGCAGAGTCGTTGCCCTCTTGTATAGATAACTTATGTATATTTATATCAAAATTGGCGACGCTATCAAGCGCTTTACGGGAGCGATAGATAAGAAAACAAACAGAAAACACATGCGCGAGCGAGCTAGTAGTAGGCCGACGATCCGTGCAGCGCAATGCTTGTGTAGTCGGTCAACGGCAGCTTGTTGGTGGTCTCGTCGACGACGACCCAGTCGTCCGTGACAAGGACCCACTCGTGCGGCGTATGGCTCGAGCCAATCTGGTGGCGCATCATGTCGTCAAGCGCCAACGAGACCTCGCCGTCCATGTCGTTGATCACGTCGACACGCGCGCGGATCATGTCGACGGCGGCGCCCAGATCGTAGTTGGTTTCGATCAAGACGTCTTCGAGGAGGTCGCGGTCCATCGCTGGAAACGACATTTCGAGGAGCGCAAGGTTCTCTTCCTTCCAAAAGAGGAATTCGGTCGCGACGTCGAGGCCAAAGCACTTCATCTCGTCCTCGAGCGTCCCGCTGTGCACCGCTTGCACCGAGATGGGCGACGACGTCATCGTCATCATGCTCAAGCAGTCGCTCGGGACGACGATCTGCGGCCGCGTCGCGCAAGCCCGGTCGTCCAGCGAGGCCGCGCGGGCGAGCGCGGGCTCATGGCGCATGGGCGGCAGGTCCATCGAGGCGGCACGTGGCAGCATGGAGGAGGCGGCGCGGGAAGGCTGCATGGCGGCAAGCGATAAATAATGTCGTACGAAAAGGGGGTCGTCTCCGCACCTACCAAGCGGACCGCGGTGGCTCGAGGCAAAATCCAAACTGCAGAGCAGAGCCGCGGGCGCCAATCCGGATAGTGTGTTCTCAATCCGGATACGACCGGGTGTTTCGGCTGTCAACCGAGCACGCCGTTTGTATCGGGCCCAAAAAGTACGACACCGCGCAATGCGCCTTTTCATTGGCTACTTGATATCCAATCAAACGCGGCGGATTTACAACGCTGATTGAGCAATCGAGCGCAGCGCAGCCCGCCACGAGACTGTTCGCGTGGCCGCCTTGCAC